ACAGGACAAATAGAGAAAGTAAATCTCCCTAACGGGGCACAGACAGCAAAGAAAACTGACAAGCATTCTAAGGCTCCATGCACACCAGCAATTTTTTAAGCTCCTAGAATCTAAATAGTGTTTTCCTATGTGTCCATGTACACTACTTTAGGCTATTAACATTGTTTGTTTGAGTTTCAGCATCAGGAGCAGAAAAAAAAAAGATTTTTTAGAGTTGTTTTCGAGTGTTTTTCCAGCAGAAAAAAGAAACGCCAAACACTTCTAAATGCTGCTAAACCACTTCTAACAGTTTTTTTTTTTTTTTTTCCTCTACATGTACTGTAAAAACACTAATAAAATTCTAACGCTCCTAAAACGCTTCTGAATGCTACTAAAACCAGCTTTTTTTGAGCTTAAAAAAAAAAAGCTAGGGTGCACGGAGCCTAATCTCTCTCCACTCTATTCAAAACAGAAAAAGTTTTGCCTTTTAGTCATACTTTTAAAAATAAATTCAAAAAAGTTTAGTCATGTATATACTCTAAAAACCATAAAAATGTGCCCTGTAGTGTTTTATTTTCTAATCCATGTCTGTTTCTTTGTCCACCTGCCTCTAGTGTAGTTCTGGTTTCCTATGTTCTGTTGAGTCTCACATCTGGCAGTCTGATGAGGAATGCTCCACTTCTTATCTCGTCTTTCGGTGCCTTCCTTGAAGAAGCAAGTGAAGCCTCCCTACTTTTTACTTAATGAACTGCTGTGTGCAGACTGCGTAACTAGCTAGCTTAGAATTCTAGCTAAAGTCACACAAGTATAAATAGCTTCATGAAATCTGCCCAATACATCTGTTATATTTATTCAAGTAACTACATTTTGGTGAGGAACTGCTAGGTTTCTTGCTTCATGCAGTTATTATTATTATTATACAGGTCTTATATAGTGCCGACAGTTTGCTCAGCACTCTACATTATGGAGGGAGACAGTACAGTAACAATACAGTTCAATACAAGAGGGATTAAATGTACTGCAGGTTCAGGGATTGTTATTTTAAAGCCGAACTCCAGCCACCAAAAAATGTCCATAAAAATAAGCAAGTATATCTCTTGCTGCAGTACTAGCATTCAGTTCAGAGCTGTCCCTTGCAGCACTGCTACTATATGTCCTCAGTCTTTAAGGCCAAATTACAGCCAGTATAATTTAATCCTCTGAGCCCAGACCAGCCTATGATTGGACAATGAAGGAGATGCAGTGCTGTCATGAAGTTGTTTGTCACTCTGCTTTCTACTCCTATCAGCATGTTCCTTGTCGGCTTCTTTCTCTACCACTCAGAGCTCCGCTGTACAGGGACTGCAAGTGGCTGATGCTGAGTCAAATTCTGTTTTTTACACTGCTTGTATTTGGGAAAATTAACTTATGATGTATATGGAACTGCAATAATTGTGTGGGTTTTTTTCTTTTCTTTTTTTTCTTTTTTTTTTATCTGTCTGGAGTTCAGGTTTCAGGTACCATTTTTCCAGATCTCTCTCTTTCTTTCTTTCTCTCTCTCTCTCTCTCTACAAAAAAGGAGTGTTTCATTGAAATCTGTTTCATATTACAGTATAGATGCCCAAGGTAACCTTGCACAATGTCCTAGATAACCATCAAATGGACATCAACAGGTATAGGAGTCCAACTATGCAGCTATTCATTTTAGTGTAATCCTTTTTTACTTCAGTGCTGTGTCAGAGGTGTCCTTCAGATATATACATTCACACAACTCACATTTTTGTTAATATTTTATTCTATCTTTTCATGTGACAACACTGAATAAATGACACTTTTCTACAATGTAGAGTGTACAGCTTGTATAACAGTGTAAATTTGCTGTCCCCTCAAAATAACTCAACACACAGCCATTAATGGCGATCCCCGTTCTGAGTGGAACCTGTCCTGTTAAACTGCTGTATGGTCTTGGCCACTGTGCTGCAGCTCAGTTTCAGGGTCTTGGCAATCTTCTTATAGCCTAGGCCATCTTTATGTAGAGCAACAATTCTTTTTTTCAGATCCTTGGAGTTCTTTGCCATGAGGTGCCATGTTGAATTTCCAGTGACCAGTATGAGAGAGTGAGAGAGATTACATCAAATTTAACACACCTGCTCCCCATTCACACCTGAGACCTTGTAACACTAACAAGTCACATGACACCGGGGAGAGAAAATGGCTAATTGGGCCCAATTTGGACATTTTCACTTAGGGGTGTACTCACTTTTGTTGCCAGCAGTTTAGACATTAATGGCTGTGTGTTGAGTTATTTTGAGGGGACAGCAAATTTACACTGTTATACAAGCTGTACACTCACTACTTTACATTGTAGCAAAGTGTCATTTCTTCAGTGTTGTCACATGAAAAGATAGAATAAAATATCTGTGAGATACTGTGTGTGTGTGTGTGTGTGTGTGTATAATATTACTATTAGTATTATACAGGATCTATATAGCGCCAACAGTTTGCTCAGCGCTTTATAATATGTCTGGCAATACGTGTGGTTGAGATATATATATATTATTATTATTATTTTTTTACATTGTAGTTGGTTTCTGGCCTAGACCAGAAACCAATTCAACCATTCTTTCATATGGAGGAGGGAGAAGGGGTTTTCTCAGCTAAGCATATCCTCCTGCCTTCATGCAGGAGCTAAGGGCGGTTGGATTCAAGGACGTAAATGCTGCATGAATCATCCTCCCTTTCTGAAGAAGGCCATGGCAAGAAATGCTAGGAGGTGTTGTTCAAGTGATTTCTCAACAAACTGAAACATGGAGACATGGAATAGTTTGCTTTCAAATATTAAAAATTAACATTGTTTTCAGTTTCTGGTACCCAGACACAGTTGAGTTCTGCTCTTAATTGCCTGTTGAGTCATTCCTCCTCTGCTTGAACCAGCAATATGTTGCTTCGTTCTCACCAGTGATTGTCAAATCACTCACAAACACGTGCAGACTCCACCTCCGCAATATCGCCAAAATACGCTCCTTCCTTACCCCAGACACCACTAAACTACTTGTGCACTCCCTGATTATCTCACGCCTTGACTACTGCAACTCCCTCCTCACCGGCCTACCCCAGTGCAGGCTCTCCCCGCTTCAGACCATCCTCAACTCAGCGGCTAGACTCATCCACCTCACCACCCGCTCCACCTCTGCCACCCCCTCTGCCTCTCCCTCCACTGGCTCCCTATCGCCCAACGCATCAAATTCAAACTACTCACTCTGACCTACAAAGCCATTCACAACACTGCCCCTAACTACCTCACCAACCTGATTCCCAAGTACCACCCTACCCGTACCCTTCGCTCTTCACAGGACCTCCTTCTATCTTGCTCCCTGGTCTCCTCCTCACACGCACGTCTGCAAGACTTCTCCAGGTCCTCCCCCATCCTCTGGAACTCACTACCCCAATCCATCAGACTGTCACCTTCCCTCCTCACCTTCAGGCGCTCCCTGAAAACCCACCTCTTCAGGGAAGCCTACCCCACCCTCACCTAACTGCTGCTCTCCTTCATTCCTCCTACCACTCCATCCCCCACAGCCACTTCCTCCTGTACCTCTACCCCCTCCCTCCTAGATTGTAAGCTCGAAAGAGTAGGGCCCTATAACCCCTCGTGTGCTGTTTTTTGTTGCTGTAATGTTTCATGTATTGTCCCCCCCTCTATTGTACAGCGCTGAGCAAACCCTTTGGCGCTATATAATCTCAATGTAATGTAATGTAATGTAAAGTGATTGAGTTTCAGGACATTCAGGATGAGCAACTACTGAGTGGCTTTCACTAGTGTTCATAGATGTAGGCAGTGCAAATTATAGTGATCACTAGTGACCAAAGAGGCACGAATTCTGAGAAGCTGAATTTTTGGATAAAGCCGATTATGTAACAACATTTATGAAACTGGCTAATGCTGAATAAAATCCAGTCCAATGATGAGAAATATTTTAAAAACATTCTTGAACTAGCATGCTGTTAGCCCCAGTTCATATATATGTGAATTAGATGCGTTTTTGAACTGCATCTAATTCGCATGACATTTGAACCTGCAGCCTTTTCAATGGTGCCGTTTCACTTATGTGCCTGTAATAATATTATGTGCGGGTCGGCTGCAGAGCGTTTTTAGATAGTCCGGTATGATTTTGAGCCCAGGTGCGGTTTCCATTGTCATACACTGACAATTCGCACCTGAATCTCTGAGCAAGTTGCAGCGGAGGGGGTGAAAACCAGGCCGCACATACACTATATTGCCAAAAGTATTAGACCGCCTGCCTTTACACGCACATGAACTTTAATTCCAGCCTTAGTCCGTAGGGTTCAATATTGAGTTAGCCCATCCATTGCAACTATAACAGCTTCAACTCTTCTGGGAAGGCTGTCCACAAGGTTTAGGAGTGTGTCTATGGGAATGTTTGACCATTCTTTCAGAAGCACATTTGTGAGGTCAGGTACTGATGATGAATGAGAAGGCCTGGCTCGCAGTCTCTGCTCTAATTCATTCCAAAAGTGTTCTGTCAGGTTGAGGTCAGGACTCTCTGCAGGCCAGTCAAGTCCTCTACCCCAAACTCGCTCATCCATGTCTTTATGGACCTTGCTTTGTGCACTGGTGTGCAGTCATGTTAAACAGGAAGGGGGCATCCCCAAACTGTTCCCACAAGGTTGGGAGCATGAAATTGTCCAAAATTTCTTTAGTTCCCTTCACTGGAACTAAGGGGTCAAGCACAACCCTGGAAAAACAACCCCATGCCATAATCTCCCCCCCCCTGCCCCCCACCAAACTTTACACTTGACACAATGCAGTCAGCCAAGTACCGTTCTCCTGGCAGCCACCAAACCCAGACACGTCCATCGGATTGCCAGACAGCAATTGGATTGTTCACTCCAGAGAACACGTCTCCACTGAGTGGCAGCTTGCTTTACACCACTGCATCCGACGCTTTGCATTGCACTTGGAAATGTAAGGCTCGGATGCAGCTGCTTGGCCGCATCTGCTCGGCCATAGAAACACCCACTCCATGAAGCTCTCTATGCACTGTTGCTAATCTGAAGGTCACACGAAGTTTGGAGTTCTTTAGCTATTGACTCTGCAGACAGTTGGCAACTTCTGCGCACTGTGCTCATCAACATGCATGCCCTGACCCCGCTCTGTCCTTTTGTGTTGCCTACCACTTTGTGGCTGAGTTGCTGTTGTTCCCAGTTGCTTCCACTTTGTTATAATAGCACTAACAGTTGACCGTGGAATATTTAGTAGCAAGGAAATTTCATGGTTGGACTTATTGCACAGGTAGCAACTTTTCACGGTTCCACGCTTGAATTCACTGAGCTCCTGAGAGCGACCCATTCTTTCACAAATGTTTGTAGAAGCAGTCTGCATGCCTAGGTGCTTGATTTTATACATCTGTGGCCATGGAGGTGATTGGAACACCGGAATCCAGTGATTTGGAGGGGTGTCCCAATACCTGTGGCAATATAGTATATGCAAACCTAGCTTTACAAGGGTTTAGTGCAGTGGTGGGCAACCTTTTTTTTCAACTGAGCCAAATCTCGCCAAAACCACGATTGAAATTTATTTTGAGAGCCACATTTTTAAAACTGAAAATACATCTCCCATATAGTAATTCATCCCCCATATAGTAATTCATCCCCCATAGAGTAATTCATCCCCCATATAGTAATTTCATCCCCCATATAGTAATTCATCCCCCATATAGTAATTCATCCCCCATATACCCCATATAGTAAGTCCCCCCCCCCCATATAGTAAGTCCCCCCCCCATATAGTAAGTCCCCCCCCCATATAGTAAGTCCCCCCCCCATATAGTAAGTCCCCCCCCCATATAGTAAGTCCCCCCCCCCCCAACCCCATATAGTAAGTCCCCCCCCCCATATAGTAAGCTCCCCCCCCCCATATAGTAAGTCCCCCCCCCATATAGTAAGTCCCCCCCCCATATAGTAAGTCCCCCCCCCATATAGTAAGTCCCCCCCCCATATAGTAAGTCCCCCCCCCCATATAGTAAGTCCCCCCCCCATATAGTAAGTCCCCCCCCCCATATAGTAAGTCCCCCCCCCATATAGTAAGTCCCCCCCCCCCCCCCATATAGTAAGTCCCCCCCCCCATATAGTAAGTCCCCCCCCCCATATAGTAAGTCCCCCCCCCATATAGTAAGTCCCCCATATAGTAATTCATCCCCCATATAGTAAGTCCCCCCTGTGTCAATTCACTTACCTTTGCTCCGCGCGTTCCTCTCGCCGTGCTGCGCCGTTCTGGTCTTCAGGGCGGACTGTGAGAGGAGAGGAGTTCGTCACGCTGCCCCGCCTACATCCTGGCTGCCCCGCCTACATCCTGACAGCTGCAGAGTCCTGACTTTTGGGGCGGCCGCCCGAGAGGAGGGAGGGGAGCGGGCGGCCGTAGAGGGGGGAGGGGAGGTGAGGGGGCGGCCGCCCTGCACACGCCCGTCCGAGAGGAGGGAGGGGAGCGGGCGCCCGGCACACAGAAGAGCCGCATTTAAGCTTGTAAAGAGCCGCATGTGGCTCGCGAGCCGCGGCTTGCCGACCACTGGTTTAGTGCTTGGAAAATGAACCTATTTCTGCATCCATGGGTAATTCTTTATCAGACTATCGAAAGATACATCCATGACTTGACTAGCAGAATATTTAAATTGGCTCAACACTGCTACAATTTCTAAACACCGGTTACTGAGGAATACATTCTAGTAGTTACAAAGGAGCGTATTTAAAGAGGAACTTCACCAACCCTTCAATCTGTGGACTCAGTCATGGGGAGTGTAATGTTGTTGTTTACACTGACCTCTGTTTCCCTGATCCACAGGTGATCAGCCACAAGGTACCTCTGCACAACACTCGCAATCCCATGATCCTAGTTATTAGGCCTATAAGCATATTGCTTCCATCCAGGGTGGGCAGTGTCTATAGATAGAGCAATCTTCTTTCCTGCAACCATAGGTTATTGGCGTTTGAGAGAATCCCTCCCTCAAAGCCATTGTCTTCTCCCAATGGGGAAGCGGTCCCCACCAGGAGAGCACAGTGATTACTGCTAGTGCCTATAATATCTGCTAGCAATAATTGAAAGTAAAATCCACCAGGCTGGTTACATCCAAAAGGTTTGGGTACATGCATCCTGCCCGTACATGATTCTAATCTCGGCTGGTTCAGCAGGTATTCGAACCACCTATGGCTGTACTTAAGGCCTGGAGGTGTGCAATAATCACATTATGTCAAGAATTCAGATAATAATCACACTCAACTAGACCCAATAAGTCACTTTGACTTATTGGGGTAGATTTACTAAAAGCAAATAGACTGTTCACTTTGCTAGGGAATTTTTGCTTCACTAAGCGAATGTGGTAAACTTTACTTTGCAAAGAATACCCAGCCATTTGCAATGAAAAATTAAAAATTTGCTTGCTCTTGATTGTATGATGCTTTGGTACAGTTTCCCTACATTGATTACGCCAAAGGAAAATTCCCTTGCAAAGTGAAAATTCCATTGCGCAATTTCAAGAAACCAATACAAATTATTCTTAGAATACACAAAAGATGTTACATTAGCACTCATATTTATTTGATATACAGCTACCTTTTTTTTTTTTTTTTTTTTTTTGCACAAAGAATAAATCCCTAAGGTCCTTACAGAGTTACTCTGATCAGGTCCACCTGTAATTCTTTTTTTAGGTGAATCTGAACAGAAACTCAATGTTGGTCTATGGGCATGCAGATGTAAACAGGTGTCCATTTGCATCCAACACCAGTTCATTGCATTGAGTAGTCTATTTCCCTCTCACACCATTTCAACCTAAAATAACCCAACCTTTCTTGCCCCAAAGGTTACTTGGCTGCATCCCATCCCTTCATGCCCCATGGGCCACAATCTCATTCTGCTGGCTGGACCTGAGAAGCAAGAATGGCTAAAAAAAGTACATCTACTTAACCCCCTCAATTCATTGGAGCCAAAAGGAACTGCTGGTGCACAGCTGGTCTCCCCGTCCGCCCCCACTCAATGGAAAATATTTAATGAAAATCCAGCACAACGCTCCTAGTTCTGATTCTTTTATTGATTGATAGAGCGGCAGCTCATATAAAACAGTCTACTTATGCATTTCAGCCTCAACTGGCCTCAATCATAATCCCCATAGACGTTTAAAGGCTGTCTAAAGGAAAATAAGCAGCCATACCAAGCAACCACAATTCAATTCTCACAGATTCCAGTAATCTGAAATGAGGTTGGCTTGGACTTTGGTTGATTATTGTTCTCTGCTCTGTCATATAACTACAATAAGTTTAGCACCCCTGCACACTCGTCCTTTCAAAATGAACCGCATTTGTTCCAATTAGCAAGGGATCCTTCAATAGATTCCCTGCTGATTCAGAGCAGAATGAAACGGATGTCACTCACGATTGATTTGTAGACAGGTGGATAGAAATGGCCGTGCATTCATTTATATGCTTTTACCTCTGATCCGTCATGTTTGGGTCTGCAAAAATGGAAAATGATGCAAACCTTTTCTTTTCTTTCCCTTTTTTTTTTTTTTTTAAACCTAGATGAACTTATGGTTATTGACTGTACACAGATGCACATCTGTATAAACCTGACTGCCCATAGATCAACATTGAGCTTCTATTCAGATCCACCTGAAAAATTGAGAAGTGGGTCAGATCGGAGTGTTTATCTAGAAGGATTAGAGATTTTTTTTTTTTTTTTTTGTGCAAAAAAGGTAGCTGTATATCAAATAACACATTTTTTTAATATATAATAATAATTTGTTTGGTTTCCCGGAAATTGTGAACAGCTTGGTCTTTGTATTTCTCTCGGTAATGGAACATCTGTGTTTGGTGATATTATTTTGGAGATAGGACTTGTTAGGTGCTGACACTAATGCTGCCGTAACCATGAATTTTGTCAGAAACTGAACTGTGTGAAAACATAAGGCAATTAGCACTAATGTATTAGAAGATCGATATTTGGATGTCAAAGCATCATACTTTTTACTCTATTTTCTTATTAGATGTTTTATGGCAGTCTCTCTGGCTACAGTTGTAATGTAGGATGTGTTTATTTTTCTCTGGATACATGTCAGCTTAATGCTTGTTGACTGTAACATAGCCCAGTCGATGCTTCGCAACTCTGTATGTTGCTTTCTTTTCCCCTGAAATCATACATTACTTCTTTTGTTTATGCCGAGGGCTTCTCTGGCAAAATTACTTACGCTTGTGTAATCTTTAAACACAGAAAAAAAATATTTATAACTCCGAATGTTCCACTTGAGAGGGGGGGTTGCTAAGTAATTTAATAGAAATGTAAGAGTGCAAGGCCTTGGAATCCCAAAGAGGAGAAGAGCTGGAGTAGCAACGGGCGGTAAACGCAGAATAGCAAAGAATACGTTTGGACTAGTGGCCTTTGGATTTTCTTTGAATAGTTAGCAATTTTTAGTGAAGGCAGTTTCTATGTAACGATTAGATCAGAATCCAGACTGTAGGATAGTAGATTGTGTCCTAGTTCTGACTACGTGTTCTAGGAATTTCTGTAGAAAAGGGCGAGATGAGACGGTGCAGCTGGAGGTTTCAGGGAGGGTTTTTGGAATGCTGGTGTTAAAACGTTGTGCTTGACCAAGGAAGAGAAAATGTCAGTAAAAAGAGAGCTTCCTTGCTGTAAGGGCTATCCTCCAGCTTCATGTAATAAAAAAAAAAAAAAAAAAAATAATTTATATATATATATATATATATATATATATATATATATATATATATATATATATATATATATATATATATATATATATAATAAAAAAATATAATCTTTTTGAGGATTATAAAACCACTCCCATACAAATTCGCTCAGCGCATGGACACACACAAACAGCTTTTTTCTTCAGAATAACAAAAAGGTGGGAATTTGCAACAAAGTTTGTTAAAATCCTTGCAATGTACGTAGATAACCCAAAGGGGATTTTTTTTTTTTTTGGAGGAAATGTGGAATTGCTCTTTAAAGTGATAATAAACCCTCTAAACCGAAGGACTTTTCAGCAGTGGATTTGATCACTTAATTTAGTATGCAGCTATTTTTAAAATTCGTGTTCCAGTTTAGGCTGCCCTAGTTTCCTGTTTAGGGTGGCTCCTTTCTTTTGCAGAATCTTATGGAGCCAGCCTTGCATGCAGACTAGAGTTGAGTCTTCAAACTCCATGTATGTCTATAGAAACACTCAGCCCTGTAGTTTGGGATAACAAGGCACTCTCCTGTACCTCCCTTCTCTCAGCTAACAGACTGGCTCAAGACTGACCTGTCCACTGTTAACTCTTTCCTCTGAAGACTAAAAGTTCAAAGAACTAATCTTAAAATATTTTCTTTTCTCTACTCCTACTCAGTCTGCCTAATCTGTATAAGAAAAGATGT